TGTTTTTAAATTATATTGGTACGACTCTATACCTAAAACGTATTTTATTATTGGATAAAATTTTAAAAATTAGTTTTTATCTCGACCAATAAAATGAAATTATTCACAATATAGAAATTTTTGTAACGTTTGATAATGGTGGAAATCCGAAAATGAATCCACTTCAGCTACAGTCTATTGTAAGCTTTATATCGAAAATCAGAACGAACTTTCCGGACAACCTATAATGTTAATACAAAGTGTCAAATGAATGTAACAGAAGTAGTTTATTCCAAATTGTATCACAAGTATATAGGGATAGAGTTCAATTTTGTCAAATGTACCGATATTTTTGCGCACCTTGACTGCTTCGTTACTTATGACGCTGTGGCTGCTACGATATTTATGAGCATCTTGCATGTACTCATATATTTGACGCTGTGTATGTACCGATGTATTTGAGCAGGGTGAATGTATCTATTATTTTGAGGACTTTTGTTGTACCGATATAATTGAATACTTTTGGTGTACCTATATATTTGCATATCTTGTCTGTGACGATCTATATGACGCTGACTGTAAAACATAGTCCGGCAGAACATATTTTTTTTATAATTCCGCGCGATTTTAGACTGAAATAAAAGTGCCATTGTGGCTATAATAAAGACAAAGGGTAAAGACACTTCGTAGTATTTTATATGTATAGTGTGTACTTCTGCATATTGTGTCATAACATAACACCTACAACGAACCTGTTACACATAGTTGATCAAGAATAGCGGTGGTTTATCGCTAGTTATAATACTTATGTACACGAAAACATGCCCTTTTGAATTTGTAACTTGCAAAATTCTGTTCAACTGCAGTTGACTTAAATGTTGTCTCAATGCAACTATTGGCCAACTCTATAAATATTCCATAGTCGTGTTTAAAATGACTCATGGATATTACCCTGTTTCCTTATTCCACGGTTAAAAAATTTGGTAAAAAATACTTAAACTATTAGAATGAGAATAGAGTTAAGGTCAAATCATGTAAAACCGAAATGCAATAAAATTAGTCTTCCTGTTCCTTTAACAATTATAATTTATAAAACAATTGAAACTGCGTGTTTAACCTTGTTATACTCAAAATTGATAATTTTATATAGTAGAATATTCAAGTTTCCCTATTTACTGTAATCACGATATCGTACAAAATGAAGTCAGCAAAAATCCTTAGTCTGAAAGTCTACAGGTAATAGTCAGCCGCATTTATAACATTAAATTTAAAAAAAGTATAAAAAACCTATATCTTACTTTTAAATTACGATTGACTTACTAATTAACTGCCCGCGACGTAGTCCGCGCGAAATTTATATGTTACTAATCTTACTAATTCTTCTTTTCTTACTAATATTATAAATACGAATGTTTAGATGGATGGAAGTATGAATGTTTGTTTGAAGGTATTTCTGGAACAGCTGGACGGATCTCACAGAAATTTGGCATACATGTAGACCATAGTCTGGAAGAACGCATAGGCTACTTATTAACTTTTTTTTAAATTCCGTGCGGACTATTAAGGCTATTGTTGCGCCGATACTCCGGCACAGTGTCGGATTTTCTTCCTAACTCTAGTAACAAACATTCATCCAAACATTCGCATTTATAATATTAGTGAGCCACAATTATATTGGCACTTTTACGATATCCGGTGGAGTATTATCGATAATATTACAAGCTCTCATCAGATATCAGATATTCTTTATATCTCACATTAAAAAGTTAAAAATCATTCAATGATGCAATACCACGAAAACAAGTTGGACATAATCTCTGATATCAGTAAAGGTATTGTCGGTAAGTAGTTATATATTATTATATAAATTCAGTCAAATCTACTTGATAAATACGATAGCGATAATTTATCTACATAAAACAAGGAAAGTACATAACAATAAACAACCTAATTTACTTATTTGCTCAGCCAGATGTGCATTTTGCAATATTACAGCGGCGTTGTCTACCCTTAAAGGTCGTAGGAGAAGTCAGTCTATTCTCTTTCCCGTCGATCGAACCTTTTCTTCCCATCATTATCATACGAAAAAGAAGGGAAGGAGTTAACTTTAATTCTCTCTATTGTCAATGCTAATGGCAAGGTGACCGTGGGTTTTGAGTCCAAAATCCTGCTTTAAAACGTAATGTTATCTCGTTTTGTGAAAGATGAAAGACAAGGATGACGATGCATTTTATACAGAGATTCTAATGTCAGGAACCAACGGTTAGAGTAGTGAAAACTTGTTATTGATTTTAGAAAACATTTTAAATATAGAGAAACGAGTTGGTTGAAACGTGTGCTATGTAACCGTGTTATGTTTTCTATTGCACAATTCTATTGCACGCATGAAAAAAAAACAATATAACATGTAATATATGTTCTAATCTCAATATGAATATGTTCACAATATAATATGTTCTAATCTTAATATGAATGTGAGAAACTTAGCTTTATTTACATGCACGTTTAAATTACAAACACTATATTTTAGAGACGATAATTCGGACACATTTTTCTAATACTAAACTCGTTTATTGTGTAATTAAAAAAAACTTTATGGTTTTAAAAATACCTTAATAATTCTGTCCCTTATCTTTATTTCTTATGTTTTTAACATAAATTATTTGGAAGTATTTTTCTTACCTACACTATGCGATTTTCTTTTTTAATTCAGAATAAAGTTATTGACTTTTGTGAAATGGCCATATTTAAAGATACTCTAGGCATAATCAAAGTAAAGCCTTATTTACGTTTTCTTTTGCCATCACTAAAACAAAATAAACTTTGACCAAGTAGTGATAGTGCGACTAATTTGATTTGTGTAGTGTAATATATTTTTTTATATTTTGGCAAATGTAGTATTCAAAAATACTAAAAATCTTGTTATTTCTTATTTGATAATTTATTAAAAACAAATAAAACCCAAAAAAAAATAACGAACACAGTATTGTTTTTTTTTTTAATTCCGAATTTATGAAGATATATTTTTAAATAAATGACAAAACGAATAAATAAAAAAACATAAGAAAATAGGTTGTATTCTATTTATTTTATATTTAAATAGTGTAATAACATTGGGGCAAACCACAAAAAGGCCTTTTTCCTTAGTTTTGTGTATTTGCGGTAATAATTTTTTAAAGAAAATATTTACTCTTATTACATTTAAACCTTACTTTATTAAACTTTCTCACTTGTAAAACTAAATTCTTTAAAATTCTCATATTGACATAATATTTAATGATAATGACAAAAAAGAAAGTTTATCGTCCATATCAAGAAACCAGTAGAACGTATCGTATTAAATACGAACAAGTAAAAGTGGAGCCACTCTTATGTAGCACGCAAAATATTCTAACAACATTCATCAAAAATAATCACATTGTGCAAAAAAAAACAAACATTTCCAATTAATAACAAAATAAAACAAACCTTAACATCTTTGTCTTTGCCCCATTCGTCAATTTTGAATTTTTCAAAAGTTTCCGCTACCTTCCTGTTCCTTTCTTCCAAACTCATGATTACAAACAAAAAAAAAGTCAAAGTCAAAAGCGATACTTTCCCGCCAACAGAAGCTCCGTTCGGAAACGCGACCGGTTTGTGCGAAGCGGCGGTACGCGCGCTGCCTTGCAAAACACTGACACAAATGCTTATAGTTCACCACGACTACATTTATTTACAACGAGCGCATTTCCATTGTCAATGACATTGAAATGTTGTAAATAAATTGATTGATTTTTTTGTCAATTAAATCTATTAAAAAATTGTAACCGCGCATGACTGTCTTTAAAAAAATACGACTGGACTTTTTGTAACAATTTGCTAATAAACATTTTATGCGTATTTTATGGCTTTTGAAAGGCCTACTTTAGAGTTAGAGCCGCATTTAAACAAAGATATAATTATAATAAGGATTTAAGTGGTACCTATCAATATTTTTAAACTCGGAATTTAAAACTGAGAAAAGAAATACAAAAAAGAATAGTTTTACAGATGGGTTCTCTACACCTAATCTTGTTGTGGTTTTTTAATATTTTAGTAAATTTGATATTTTATTTCAATTGATTTTGTGTCAACATCAGATATTTTGCAAAATAATAAAGCTACAAAAATAAATGTCGAATATTATTTTTTATAGTTGGAACAGGATAAACAATTAAAATATTGCAGTCCTTCAGACTCTTGCTTATTCAGTTCAACAATCAATATGAAATTTGGCATACATTAGGCAAACATTATTATATGTCTCATAAAATTATCAATCTATATCAAAGATAAAAGAAAATTTACTTTTTCTTCATTTTTAATGTAATACAAATGGAACTATTATAAGAAAGTTACATAAAAATACTCACTTTACGAAAATTAGGTCTAAATATTCAAACTTGTAAGTAAACATAAATGTGGAGGTATATATAGATTGCATGAAAGAGCTTTGACTTTTTTAATTTTAAGCCTTAATAATATGACACTAAATCCACAGAACTGTACAAAATTTGGTAAAGTAATTAATACAGTTATTGAAGGAATGAAATTAATAAATGTAAAAACCAGGCGATTTCTATTTGGGAATCAGAATAAAGAAAAATGGTGGGAATAGAAATTATATCAGTTACTTCATTTCTTTTTTAATAATTATAATATTATTTTTAACTTTGCAAAGAATCATGCTATATCTTATTGCCTAGCTCAGCTCTTAAAGTATTTTTAGGTATATGTCTCCACAATTTAGTGTCTCCCTGAGATTAAGCCTTACTTATTTTCCTATCATGAACATTGGTGAAGACGAAATTCCCCATAAATGGAACCTCATAAAAGCTGATAAAGGTACCCTAAAGATAAGTTCCTAAGTGCCCCAGAAATCCCTGTAATGATGTCAGCAGTTAATCAGTCTTATGGAAGTTATTTTAAGGTAATCCTAAAGCTAAGTTTGAGTTTATAGTTCATTAAAATATTTCATAACCAATGAAAATAGAAAGTCTAAAATGGAAACATATATTCAGGATACATGTATCAACAGCTATGTTATCTTTTCAATGCAAACAACATAAACTTATTTAAAAACATTTTATAATTCTTGTAATATTACAAAAAGTGATATGGATTGGATTTGATTTACTTTACTATCATTTCAAAACCTTCCAACTAAGCCGAAGCTTATGCAGCAATGTTTACTTAAACAATATTTTCAATGTACTTACCGCTTTGAGTTTTTTCTTGGGTCTTGAAGGTCCATCCATTTTCGAGCGATGAACTTTAGATGACGGGATAGTCGACCTAGTTTTACTTATAATGCAAACAATTATGTACTTATGATTGACTTAGATATATTCTTTCTTCCGGCTTAAAATTTAAATCTCGTTCATAAATAATTACAGATAATATAGCTCACACTCAGCTTTAATTTACAATTAATATTAGAGATAACGAGATAAGCAGCTTCAGAGGTTTCTGTTTTATTATCACTTATCACATATAATTTTGACAAAATCGTACAAAATTATGACGAAGTCAAAGTCAAACACTTGTCAACTTGACTAGTAGATCTTGATGACGTTTCCCACAGATCACAAAACCCCTTTACACATAGCTGCAGAACTAGAAGGATTAGATGGGCTTAAATTTCGTAAAAAAATGATTTGAAGTTAGAGGAAATAAAGCAATTATAGTTATTAATTATCGTTACCTTAGAAAAACTATATTAATGTTTGTAAAAGTTTTTGCTCACTGTTCTGTCATAAATCTTGATTGTTGTGTCATGTTGTGTTGTTGTAATTATTTATCAACCGAATGAATTTAATTTTAAATAAAAATACATATCTATGTAAATATAAGCGATCACGGTTATATTGACTCTTTAATTTTGGACATAAATCATTACTTTAAGTTTTCTTATCCTTAATCTGAATCTCCTTGGCGTTTTACATATAGTAATAAATTAACATCTTATATTGTAAAAATGCCTGCCGTGACATCACCGTCTGATGATGAGCATAATGATGGTGACCAGAAAATGTGGCATGCGCTTAAACGATATATTATACGTGAACGGCAAAGGAAGAAAGAAGGTAAATTCTAGGTATGGTACTCTCTCATATCTTTTACTCAATCCCTCGTTAATCTTCTTTTCGTAACAAATTTTGTAGAATATGAAGCAGAAGTAGAAGAAGAGAGACTACGAAAAGAACGCGAGGCTAGGGAAAGGCAGGATGTTATGACCCTAGGTAAGATTTATGTTAATCAATTTTAAAAACGAAATATGTTAATGCATGTCATATAGAGGCTCTTTATAACATGCGCATAAAACACATAATGTGCATAGTAAATAACACAAAATAAAACAAACTTACATGAATGTATCATAATAAATACTTTGAACCATATATTTCAGAGGAAACAAAAGAACAAATTGACCAGTTAGAACAAAAATTAAAGCAATTAGAAAAAGAAAAGCAACAACTGTTCATGCAATTAAAGAAAGTATTGAATGAAGATGAGGTTAGAAAACGACAACAACAAAAAGAATCAAAGTTAGTATGCAAATCATTAAAATAGAGAGTTGTTAATATATATCATAGAGAGACAATTTTACTATGTGCCTGACTAACATTGCATTTAACTGATATAAATACGGCTAAACACTCACGTATATTAGTCCAGTGGCGGCACCGACTAGTTTCGAGCCCATGGGGGGCCCTTCATCAGGCTGAGTGGTACTGGTATTATTTCGCGGATGCGGCCCGTCGCTCACTGAGTGAGTGTTTAGCCGTTTTTTTATCAGTTTAGTATAATGTCTCATGAAAGTTTGAATGACATTGCATTACCTTTATTTTGCTATTAGTAAGTGAGCAATTGCAGCATAAATCAATGTTTGAGTTAATATAAATTTGTTAACAGTGAAATGCAACCAATGAAGATGCCAATGGGCAATATTCAAATTCCAATGTTCCCTATGTCATCATCTACTGGTCAAGGTGAACCACCACCTCCGCAGGGCAGACCGCAGGCCATGTCATCACATATACTTAATAAGGTACTTATTATTTGATACCATGTATTTTTATCTTTTAATTTAAGACACTAATATAATATATTACATATGCCCTATATATAGAACATTTTGTACATATTATATTTTTCGGCATATTAAATTGCTAGCATTGTTAATTTTTTTAGTATATAACAGTTATATGAATATCAAAGTATATGATTTGCTAATTGTAAATGCTTATATGAATATAAGCTGGAAATAAGATGCAAGTTTACTTTTTACATTGCTTTATCTATAAATATTTTTAAGAAAGATTTGTTTAGATAACAAAAACAAAGTCTAGTGGAATCTGGATGATGGTTCCGAAGGACAATCTCCATAAATGAGGAACTCGAGTTAGAGAGAAACCTTTATAACTAAGTTATATTAAAAATATAAAATATGATGTAAATCATGTCCCATAATGGAGTTAGCGGTAACAGTACCTTAGTAATGTGAATATTGAAGAATAATATTAGTTTATGTAATAATTAGCTCTTGAATAAAACCTCTTTTCTTCCAGTTTTAATTTTAATACTTGAGTTTTTTTAGCTGTGCATTGAAAAGCTTGATATATATTAGAATAAACTTTTTGAACATTTGAAATTGACTAAATATTAACATCCAATATTTGTTTGTATTTTTAATATGTATTGTAAAATGTATTTTTCTTTTTCTTTCTAGAATAAACATTCAAACTACATGCTGTTTCCACAACAGCAAACTATAGTGCGTGGTCCGATGCAATCTGGTGTAAAACGTCCACGGAGCCCGTCTCCGACATATGCTTTGTACGCACAAAGAATACATCCACCACCTATGAAGCATCAACAGGTTTATTCTGATCATAGTAAGTTTATTTTCATTATAACAATATTTCATATTATTAAGAACAAATGCAAATATTTAAACGCAATATGCTGATGCTCTTATTATATCAACATATTTAGGGGTTTTGTAAGGAATTTCGAAGGAACAAAAGTTAAAGTATGAAATTATTCAAGTATAAAAAAATAAAAAAATTACATGGGAACTTGAAGTCCTTTCCTTTGTCTAGTAACATTATATACGCCATGAACACCAACCTGCAGTACACCAGCGTGGTTGACTATGACCTAGTCACCGCAGACTTAGGGTATGCTCCGAGCCCCTCAATGGGGACCTATCTGATGATCATTGTTTATAGTCAGATTTTCTTTTCAAATAATCCAGGTAGCATCTTAATTACCTTAATGGTATTAAATGTGAATATGAAATCTTTGCAGAAGTAGAAGATGGCCGCATGGGCCGTCAGATGGCCCGCGCAGTGCTTTGGAACAGTGAGTTAATTATGTAGATGTCGCGTCTGTCGCTTACTTTCATGCCACCATTTTCTAACAAATGTCATTAAATCCATCCATTTCTTGTTTTCTTCATTTAATCCTCTTGTGTCGTCTCTTCTGTCTGTCTTTGTCATTTTCTGTTCTGTTTGTTTTTTTTTCTTTTTGTTTTACAGTAGCTTTATGTTTTAGTTTTCGTATGTTGTTAAAGCTATTTAATTTATTTGAAGTACTAATCTTAGTTTAATTTAGCAAAGCTTAAAATCTAAAGTAATTTGTTCTTTATAAAAAATTGTTCAATGGTGTGTTTTAAACATATTTAAAACGATAGTTCAATAAACTTTTGTCAATAAGTACACTTATATCTTAACAGGGAAGTCCAAAAAGAGAAAATATAATTGAAATTTGTGTAGGAATTTGGTATATTAATTTGTTCATCTTCCTTGACTAAATTAAACTAATAAAAAATGTCATACTTTCATAACTATTAACTGTACTAAGATAATATTTCTAATAAAAAAATATCCGATTTCCATATACTAAAAACACTAATCTCTGTAAATATATAGGCGATTGCTTGGAAATGACAGTTTTTACTTCATTCCGATTTAAACTCGTCTGTTGAAGTTACGTGATAGTTAATTCTATCTTTATTATTAGTTCGATCCACAACACAGTTAAACCGAAACTATCAGCATCAAAACGGCGAAAATCAAATAGGCACAAAATACTACGCCTATAGCCAGTCCATTTATAAAATTAAGTGTCTAAAATAATCAATCCAATATGTAGAGCCGTCACAATACGCTTCCAACGTGGGCAACTCGTCATCGGGCGCGTACTACGCGATGCCCTCATCGGGCGTGGTGGTGGGCGAGCGGCCGCCCACACTGCTGTACCCGCACCACGGCCACGCGCCCCACACGCCCCACACCCCCCACACACCGCACACCCCCCACCACACCAACCTCATGTATGCGCCCGCGCCGCAGCCGCAGTTATACATCGATATATTGAAGAATAGAGAGGGACAACAACATCAGGAACAAAAGAAAGACCCTCAGGTTAGTGTTGATGAAATACATTTTTTCTTATGATTCGTGAAATAACCCCGTCTCTAGTTGTCATACTCTTTACAAATAATTGCTTTATAACACGCATTACGATTATGTGAATTTCATGGCTCCTGAATTAAGGCTGATATATACTAGGTAGGAGGTAGGAGAATTAAGGCTGGTACACACTAGGTGTAATCCAAAATTTAAAAAGTATGTGTTGTCATTTTGTGTATGGTTGGGAGTTGACGGCTAGATTAGATTATAGAGATTATAGATTATTCATCTCCTGTAGTGAAATCGAAGAAAGTCTATGATTAATTTTGTACAAATTTATAGCAATTAGTTATAGTTATAGAAGACCGGCCATTTACAATGTTTGGCGTAGTTTATTTAGATTTTTTTTCAACTACAACTTTAACTATACGGTACAAGTCCTTGTTGTCGAGAAGCGTTGTCTATTGTGTTAAGCAGCCGCAGGTGCTGATCGGTTTGAGCGAGGCTCACCATCCCTCTGTAAGCAGCGGCGTTGTGTACGCACAGCCGCCTCCAGTCAGCCGACACATTGCGATACATCCACCACCGCAGCATAACAACATGCAGGTATGTACTATGACAACTAATCGTCTGATTCTTTATTACAAAATTTGGTTATGTTAATTCTAGGTCGTCCCTAAAGGTACATGTCCATTGGCCTGCGCAGAACGCACCGTACGCATGGTACACAATGGATTTTAGCATCCTTTTGATGATTTTACATAACGCTGCGTCCAATAATAACAATTAATCCATTGCGCGCTGCATGTGGTGCGTCCCGCGCGGGCCAATGAATGTACCTTAATTCAAACTAAGAAAACCTACCACATTGCAAATTTAATTACTATAGTAGCTTTCTATCCCTTTGCGAGATTGAACAAAAGCTAATTTAACATTCCAGACAGCGAAACCGGGCAGTATAACTCAAGGCTATCCAGTACAGCAATCCAATAATGTGCAGAACCCTAATATATATCCGAATCGTCATCGATATTAGCTATTGGTGATCCACCGGCCGCAGCATCCGCAGCCTCCTTAGCATTGGAAGAAACGCATCGCTCATAGATCACACAATGTTTAGTACAACAACGAAAATAGTTACATCTTTCAATGTAACTATTTTCGTCCGATAGATTCAACATTCATGTTCTCACATCACTTCAGTATTCATATAGCTTATATATGTTTAAAAACCTTCATATAAATTAATTACATTACTCATTTAATCGTCTTAGGAGATACATCGTTTTGTACGTCTTATAATCTAAGTGTTTCAATGCATACGTTTTTTAATATTCTTTTTCAGTGTAGTATATAATTTGTTATATAAAAATAGTCTGAGGCAATGGTGTGTGCTTAACATTAGTGTATGGACTGTGCAGTGATTTAAAAAAAAACTGTGAAATTATTCATATTTTTACGAACTATTAACATGAAAAAAACAGTGCGTAAATTAGACATGTACAAAAATAATTCACATATGCGATATATTTAGTTGTTTTTTTTATTATTGTATTTTTATGTACCTGTGTGATTTATAAAAATCGATTTATTATGATAGTAGGGGAGACCAATCGGGGATTATAGTATTTATTCTACTCTACTTATTTAACGTGGAACGTTTAATTTGTGTGTGTACTCTGTTGAGTGCAAGGTTTCCCTTTTATATTTAACTGTCAAGTTTGAGTAAATCCAAAAATCCCCGCTTGTCCTCCCTTATTATGACAGAAAAATGTCGATGAACAAATGTTTTTGATGATGATTTTGATACGTTGAAAAGTTTACTTAAATTCGAGTCAATTATTCCAAGATTGTTTCAAAATAAAAAAGAAATATTTTATAGATTTATTTTAATACATTTTGTCTATGTTAATTTTATTCATTTTTTATTACTGTTAGAAATGTGGGAATGGCCTCAGCATGTTGTGAATAAAAAAACGTAGTGTTTCATTTAAGCAATAGAAGTAGAGATCAATTTATTCCAATAAATATAGATGTATTCATATAAATCCAATTTGTAGCAATTAAAAATAATAAAAAAAATATCTTAATCAGAGTCCAAATATACTGAAAAACATTTTTTTATATCAAACGGAAACTGAAATAGCGAAGTGACCGTTGCCCATAGACATACGCAACTGCATATGCGTTGCCTACCTTTAATCGACGGAGGAGAGGATGCACGGAAAGAAAATATTTTCCCTTACCATGTGCATCCTCTCATCCGGAAAATCCACTTCCACTTCCCATCCTATCCTTATAAGAAAAAGGGTGGGAAGGGAAAGAGGGCTAAATTAGGCCTCCGGGACGCAAGACATATAGGAAGATACATTGTAGTCGCTTCAAGCTTTTGTACAAAAATAATCGCAATAATTCAGCTCAATTACAAAACTGGTTTCATGGTATTAAAAGATTCAAACTTTATTATGGCTCGCTTAAATACGGATAGAGGAAAACGATCGTGTGTACTAACAAAGGGTTACGTCTTGTGATACCGAATATGTACGCAACCTCTCGTACGCAATTCCGACCTTCCATAAAGTTTTGAATAATACTGTACTAGAACAATAGATGATCCGCATGAAATATTTTTTGAGGCCTTTGAAATAGCAGAAAATTGTTCACAAACATCTCATTTCGTTGGCCAGTATTGGCATTACAGGACTTCATATATACAAATATGCCAGAATACATTAAAACCATTATGTTTGTCATAATCTTAGAACTCTGTATAAACTCATGTGTAATGCTGGCAATTTAAAAAAAAATACAAAACTATATCAATCAAACTGTCTTTAATTTATTTAATTTATTTACAAAAATTTACAAATAAAAAAAATAATAACATTTTTATAAATCAAAAATAGATTTTATCAGAACAGTATTAATGTAATCTAACCTATTTTCTCGATTAATAAATAATACTAATTTAAAATCATTTTGTAGTAAAAAATGTTTTGCAAAATTTTATTATAGAAACAAAACGTAAAAAAAAAGATAAAAACTTGGCGAAGCGGGCTTGCCGTGTAAACACAAAGCCTTTTAACCGCTAATTAATTCCCGACCTAGGGCTAGCTCGCGAAACATGAATGCTACTTTATTTTACAATATCTTTCTTATTAAAATTGTATTTTTATACGATAAGTTTTCATTGTTTAATTCATTCTAAATAGTTTTAAAATTATGTATTAATTTCATTTTCATCAAGCGTCTGCGGTTCCTATGGTATTGCTGATGTCCATGGGCGTCGTTGAACACCTCGGTGTTCCCGCTGCTCGTTTGCCCCCTTCTTTTATAAAAAAAGCTAATTTTCATAACTCCATGTTTTATTGTGTTGTTTTATTATTCAAACCAAAAGTTTACTACGATCGACCATTATAGACATATTTCAACATTCTTCACCAGAATTTAATAGATAAAAATATTTGAATGAACGCAAGGTGGGTGTGGGGGCTTAGGGTGTGTCGGATATACCCCCCGGGCGACGTACGACCTGCAAATAGGTCGTCGTGCACCGGCCGCGATCGATCGTTACTGCATCTCGCCTCCCTGCAACCTCGAACATTCTAGATGCTATGAATTTATAACGTTTCGGTTTTATTACTGTTCCTAATTTTAATTTGAAATCTTGTTAAATTAATTAAATTGTTAAATTAAACTTAATTATAATTCGTATTTATTTTTATATTAAACATTTCATATCTTAAATCTAAATTTAATAGAATAAATAAAAAGTAATATAAAAGTAGTTAGGAAACTAACATAAAATATCAAATATCACGTTTGTAAAGGAATACTTTTTAGCAAGGTCAAGGTCAGAGAACAATCACGACTAATGTTTGTCGTCTACATTTTCCCTCGAGACAAAAGTGTGACGTAGAAAATATTACACAAATAAATGTTATCGTGTGTTTACATTACCGAAACATGTATACTAAACATAATTCTCTTTATAAAACTAGATTTTTTTTATATACATGTAGACAGTAGTCATTTTCGGTTACAATTTTTTTTAACCGACTTCAAAAAGGTGGAGGCTCTCAATTAGTCTGTATGTTTTTTTTTAATTAAAACAATTTAAAGGATTGTTTCTATTCCAGTAAATATTAACAAAAACAATTGTTTTGATTACCTATCAACTGGGATTTGAATTAATAATCCGTGGAACTGTTCTACCGACGAAAGTTTCCTTCGGGAAAAACGTAGTGTTTATGACGATTACGACGTAATACGCACTCGTCCTTACAAGGTCAGATATCTTTGCATACTAAGATTTTGTTTGAAATTGAAGTTGAGGTTACATTATTAATTGTTGTTACAATTTCAAGTGATATCATTTTATTTACAACTTATTAACTGTTATTAATAATTATATTATGTTTTCGTAATATATTTTTATACGTAAAATATATAATTGCATAAATAACCTAATATATAAAATCTATTTTCGAATTACTTTAATTGTTTCATTTTTGTATAAACATTTTTAATATTTCTTTGTTCTATGAATGTAATAGATCTTTATAGTGAATTTAAACCTTAAAGTAACTTACTTAGGGATTATTCTTGATTAAACAGAGCTTCGTATCGTAGTTACTGGGCACGTTAGTTACTACGCAGGCGCAGACATATCGACTACCTCATCCCTTTCCCTATTCCAGTAAAACCTGAATAGTGCTTACAGGATATCTGATAAAGGACTAGATATGTCTAGATATATAGCACAGTATACCTTGGAATCTCATCCATTGCGCCATTGTGTAAACTACGCTTTTGTTAAATCTGCTTTAGTAAGCAATAACCGGCTATTATAAATTTTGTTAACAAACATTTCTGATATTCGATAGCCTTTAGCGGTACTAAGAAATTACAAATCAGTTTTGCAGTAAATGCAAGGATTCAAAAACAAATATTTATTCCACAATCATTTTAATTTCTGTTTAAGTAAAAATAGAACGTATTTTTTAAATAACGCAAGTAACTAACTTTTGAAACGTAATTTAAACATTAAGAAAACATGACGTATACAAATAAGCCTTTCAAATTGTTATTTTGTTCTTTTACATAATACCAGTAATTAAGAGATCAAAGAGTAGTGTATTCATTAATACTGCAACTGATTTGATCTATTTCGGTCGGTGTATCAAGTGCATTACGTGTAGGCGTACATCACAGATTGCCGGAAGAAAACATCTTACATAACTCAACAGCACAAGAATTTACAAGGAGATAAATGTGTTGACACTAGGAATTACCGGTCATTTATTCAAGACATTTTTACTTAGGTTATCATTTAACATAAAACTTTACCTACTCTTAAAAGCTACGAATACTGAACATACTCTTTCGTTTTATTAAAGTTATGTTTTATGTATTATATTGATAGAAAACTTATATTACATCACGCAAAAGCCCCATCAATAATAAATAACCATAGTCTACAATATTGACTTTGTAATAATGAATGACCTTTAGCTATTGTCTATGTGAAACTTGGTTCAATTTCACATTCAGGTTATTATAGCATTTGGAAAACTAATCGATTTTATAATTTGGTATAACCGTAGTTCCCTTTTTTTATCATAAGGTGGCAAACGAGCGAGCGCCGACCTGAAATCGCTGATATAGCGAAGAGACCGTTGCTCATAAACATACGCAATTGCATATGCGTTGCCTACCTTTAATCGACGGAGGAGAGGATGCACAGAAAGAAAGTATATTCCCTTTCCATGCATCCTCTCATCCGGAAAGTCCAATTCCACTTCCCATCCTTTTCTTATAAAAAAGGTGAGAAGGGAAATAGGACTAAATTAGGCCTCCGGGACGCAAACTCGGCTTGCTTGATTAGCGGGGATTTTAGTGAGTCACATTGATCTATTTTTCTTTAGAAGAGATTTTTTTTTAAAGAGTTCCTTGCCGTTACAAAAAAGGCACGGAAGTAATTGGAATCCGAATTATTCTAGACTAGTGGATTACTATATTATTAGCTCTTTACTCTTTACGTTTATCAGAAGTTACTAGGGTAAGGTTTTGCCCAAAAATTCCGACTGACACAAAAGTTTAAGTAAACAAAGCCCTTAGTTTATAGAATTTTAGTGGATAGTCCATCGTTGACCTTAAACATCTTCAGAAAGCAGTTAAAAGTACAGTAAAACTATAAGTTAAGTTTTTTGAGATATCTTTATAATTTTGATACTTTGTATTACAATTATGCTCCAATTAAAATGAAGAATGAATCTCTATGAAGGGTAGAACATAAAAAAATCATAGGACGTTCGAATAAGTATCATTTCAAATATAATCTATATCTCGAAATGAACCCACATCGCACTGCCAAGGTCACATCGATCGGAAAGTGTGAAAGAGACAATACTGCCGACTGAACTTAGTCCTTCATCGAGAGGGGAAAACATGGTGGAAATTTTAACGACTAGCCTGTTGACAAACATTGGGAATGGCCATGGCCGTTACATTTCATTTACATCACAATGTACCCACTTTCATAATTACATTAATATCTTATTAATATTATAAATGTGAATGTTTGGATGCATGTTTGTTTGAAGGTATCTCCAGAACGACTGAACGGATCTCTATGAAATTTGGCATATAAATAGAACATAGTCTAGAAGAACATATAGGCTACTAATTACGCTTTTTTTCGCGAGGACGTAGTCGCGGGCCACCGCTAGTTATGATATAAATTTTAGACAACATCCAGACCGAGTGCTCACATATGTTTATTAAACCCTTGTTTGGAACGCTGAAACGATGCGCAAAAACAAAAGACGAATTAGTCAAAAACTTAATCCATTGGTAAGGGCGGCTTACTGTAAGTTTCTGATACCGAAATCTCTGCATAAAACATATTGTCATCTCTTATTATCTTTGACAAAACAGAGATAGCAATATGTTTTAAACTTGGTTTCAGAAACCCACCGTCAGTCCTGCTATGTATTTTGTCCAAACATTGTATTTTACATAATTATTACACGAGTATGTGTAACAATGTTACATTACTTAAGTTGACTACTTAAAAGATAATGACACAAGTAGATTTATAATACTAATCTTGTTTTCCTAATAGGTTTATTATGATAAAGAACATTAATTCCATAAACGTCGTTCTTAAAAAAGTAATATCGTTCTATACGATGTTAACATTTTATAATAATTCTCAACACAAAGAGACTTTCAGATCCGTCCATCGTTATACAAATTGTCTTAATGGAAAAGTATAATCTAAGACAATGAAAGTAAATCATGTCTTTTATAACGATGACTCATCTAATTGAATCATTACTTTACCTAGAGATCTTTATATAAATATAGCTCTTTTCAACCAATCAATACTTCCATATAAGGATTATTCTCTCAGTAACAACTGTCATGTTGGACGTATGAATGGATGGAAGAAATTTGACATAGATGTAGAACATCATCATCATCAGCTCACTATATGTCCCCACCGAGGGGCTCAGAGCCTACCCAAAGTTAAGGGTGATTAGGCCATAGTCAACCATGCTGGTCCAGTGCGGGTTGGTTGACTTCACACATATCTTTGAATTTCTTCTCAGATATGTGCAGGTTGCATCACGATGCTTTCCTTCACCGTAAGAACGTCGGATAAATGTACATATGTAAATCGGAAATGGAAAAACACATCGGTACATGGCGGGATTCGAACCCAGGACCTGCAGATTGCAAGTCAAGTGCTTGACCCCCGAGCCACCGATGTAGATGTAAAACATAAATAAAATAAAAAACAGCCACAAAGAAAACATAAGCTACTAATTAAGTCTAGTTAGTAGTAGTACTAATTAAGACGGAGTCGAGGGCGACAGCTAGTATTAACATATAGCCCAAACTATTACCACACTCCTAGAGACTTGAAATTTTATCATACCGTATCCCCAACTTATATGGTAACTTACTTAACTTGATATTTATTTTTATACGATGCCAAGTGAAGGTAGCATCTTATGTTGTAGCTTATGTAAATCCAAGAAGCCTTTGAAATCTAGTTATAACTAAAAACTTACTATATCTTTGTGTAACAATAACAAAGAAAACTAACTAAACATGATAAAATATTTAGTTTCCAAGAGTTATCATGTTATAAAATAATAAAAAAATATAAAGAAATAAAAAGAAATTGGAAAGACGACGAGTGAATAAAATTTTATACAAAAAAAATAATTACAAAACAAAATTAAAAATATAGTTCAATTCAACGAGTTAATTTTTTTGTTTGATTTGTTCTTACAATGAGATGAAATGGGTTCCATGTCGAGGAGGAATTGATTGGTTTACAAAAGCTTTCCCCCTATCCTCCGGTAGAGGTCGCGCCGGCCGGCGTGCGCTTCTCTGTTTACGTTTCAACGTTTCAGTTCGTAGTGATGTACTCACATATAACAATTTTATCGATTGTTTTCTGTTAACATTCATTCTGTTCCCATACGAGAAAATTAATAGCTGTATGTACGTAGTAAGTTTTTTTATTGTGTTTTTAGATACATACTCATCGAGAAATTAAGAAATACAGAAACAAATTATGATTACAATACGTATAATCAATTATAGTATAAAATGTATTATTGTACATATTGTCTTTGAAAGCTAAAAAAATATTAGTCTGCATTAAATCTTTATGTAATACTCTAGTCTAATAAATAAAAATTACCTCTGGGGAATTAAAGTTAATTCAATTCCTGTTTATCGAAACACACCGTCATATCGACAAAGTAGTAGTACAACACTATGTAGGTAGCTCCGCCCAACCTCCTTTCAGTCACTATCGGCTGGCGCGCGCGGACGGACATTTTCATCCGCCATTTTCTTTGCGACGCCATTTCGTGATTTAACATCACTTCCTTGTTTATCAAAGCCGTCAGAAGACAAGAAAATTGTGATTTGTCTGTATCAGCAAATGCGGTAAGTACTTTTCTAACATTTCATCTCAATAATTAACGATTTTACATCGTTTATAAAATTGATTTTAGGAAATACAAATAAATTTTATATTACATTAAAAAAGGCGTATTGACAACTTTAATTTAATTATAATTATTTATGCATCGTTAAATTTAAAACAATTCGTTGATACAAGTGAGTTACCTTTTTAAAATTGGAAAATTAATGGATAATTTTTTTTTAATCGCATAAAATATAGATTACTTCTACAGTATTACAATTTGTATCTTTCAAAAGAGTTAAAAATACGTTTATACTATAAGTAATTTTTTTCTTTTTAATTTTCAATATTACTTTAATTTCATAATTAATCTTAATGTAATAAAAAATGTACCCTTTGATTAATATTTCAAAATACGATGACGTCATCATAAGAGAGAAATCTAAGTATTGTAAATAGTCAACAACGTAATTTATTTCTGTACAAACTCTTACCGCACGGATATGCGACACGCCCACGCGAACGTCGAACCCGGGTGAAAACCGGGTCAGATATCGCAAATACTCAAGATAATGTAAATCATAATTGTAAACCGCTTTTGTTTTATTATAAAAACCAATTGGTGAAATGTTAAACATCCATTCTCTTCAATTTACTGACTATCGGTTACTTCGTGGGTTCCGTACATCGAAAAAACGGAACCCTTATAGGATCACTTTTTTGTCCGTTCGTCTGTCTGTCTGTCTGTCAAGACCCTTTTTTGCAGTATGCAGTCTCGCGGTCGCGCGGTCTCTCTCTAATTAGACACTAAAGGAGACTTACCAATTGACACCAACAAAAGACATCTGTTTCTTTTAAGAAGAGAGAAAAGAAAGTCGAACAAAACACAGTTCGGAATTTTTCCTTAGTCTAAGAAGCCTTATTCATGTTACGTGATGCCTAATAGCTTTCTGCGTAACAGAATCAGTTTCATAAAAAAAAAGATTTTTTTAAGAGTGTTATAGTTTTTACTAATCATGGACTAAGCGTTATTTAGCGAATTAATTTACAAGCTTGCGACATTCGTCAATATTTCTTTATACATGTATGTCCGTATGTCTGGTAGCTGTAGACATTTTGCGTCTGTAACAATGTGTACTGCGCAGTTATGTTCAGTGTAGACATAACAAGCCTTTGAACATCACTTGAATATTTAACGCAATCCGGCAAGAGTTTACAAGGAGACAGTTTTTTTAATATTTTTCTTAAGTTTTGAGAGATGTTTTGGAATTATAAAGTTTAATAAACTCTTAGCTAAATTTCTATAAATTTATTATACATCCCTAATTCTATAATTACAAATAATCTTAAATCTATGATATAAAATAAAATATAAAAAAAACCGAATAATTCACTAAAATATGTTATTAAAAGGAGTCCCTTTAGGCAATGTCCCGAAGATACTGGCTTAGCTTATTACATTTCCAAGTGTAGATAATAACGTAAGTTTATTTTTTATTTTGCGTATAAAATATCTTTCTATAGCTAAATATTTTAGTTTATAAATGTAGTTAAATATTTACTTTCATAACGTCTAAATAGGTGGTATATTTTATTTTAAACTAATGTTTACTTTTATATCCAAATAAAGTTACAAAATACAAAAGAGCAATGTTTATATAACGATGTATTCGTTAGCCAAAGATTTGTGCAATGCTACGTAGAAAATGTTGGCATTTCGCCATAAATTTGTATCAAGTTTAATCTACGTCGTAAAACAATACTTATCTGTATAGATTTCGTGCTATAAAGGCTTTAGGGCTTGAACTTAAAGTTACAATCGATGTATTGAAATTTATCTTTTTAGGGTAAGGTATTCAACATCCCCCATCTAAAAATCTTTTCAATTGAAAAACAATAATATTTTTAATTCAATTTTTTTTAGATAGGTTGGCCAATGAGTATGCTCTACTTAAATTAAAAATAAACAAGATTTGTTTTAAGTTAATTAAAATAATCGATAATTATTGGTAAAGAAGTAATAGGTTGTTAGAATAGTACTGCATATAAATTTTATACGGGCTTTATACAGAAGTATTACATATTTTTTTTTAAACATTGATGTACTTTTTTTTGACAAAATCAACTTAACATAAATATCCCAGAAAAAGTAAAATTATACGTCATTTATTCGTATATACATAGCAGACAATACGCTCATCAAGTTAAAAGGAAAGTTCGTAGCAACTACGTAGAACTTGCTACGAAAGCTACGTTGGTCAAAATATGACGCAATATGAGTTTTCTATTGACACTTTTGTAACCTTACATATCTTGTTACAGGTAAAGTATTAGATATAAAATACGATACAAAAATTCAAATGCAAGTTACAAATATTTGCGAATATGGATTTCTTTTTGTCAATCATATTAAAGTTCGAAATTATTCGCAAATCTAATTTGCATTTTTTCTCAATCCATCATATGTTTTTAACCATCTTATACAACCAAACAGATTGATTAGTCTCTTTAGAGAAATGGTCAAGAAAAATATTTCATATATGTATCAACGTCATTAGTTTGGATATAGAATCTAGAAATCGGAAATGAAATACCGTTATATATAGCGCTGCCATTTTGTTATATAAATAGTGAACACATTAACAGACTCGTGCTAATTACCCGTCGTATGTGAGATTGAGCAAATGTTGAAACTCGACTCGTATTGTGGTGTATTGAATTACTATGTTACGTAGTCACATTGTTTTGTTGAAGTTGATAACTTTATATACTACTAACTGTCGCCCCCGACGCCTAAAACATAATAAGTCCTTCCCTAGACCTCCACAAACATTTCAAGACCAAGATAAGATAAATCCGTTCAGACGTTCACGAGTTTTAGTCAGCCTAACGAACAGCAATTGATTTTTATATCTAAAAGATTACATCACATTATAGCTGTCGCCAATAAATATAAAATTAAACTAGTAGCCTTTGTCCTTCCAGACTGTCTATATCTATGCCGTTGTATATCTAGCTGTTCTGGAGATAACTCCTTACAAATATCCATTCATCTGAACTTTCCCATCTTACTTCTTACTAATGTTATGGATGGATGTTTCTTAGAAGGTATTTTCAGAACGACTGCATGAATCTCGCTGAAATTTGGCACAGATGTAGAAGAACATATAGGCTATTATTTAGGGGTCTTAATCCCAGTCGACGGAGTCGCGAGCAACGGCTAGTTTATAATATTATTATAGTAAGATTGTAATATTCGTTTGGTATTACAAACCCACGGTTACGTGTTGAACACACTAGTTTGGTAAGAACAGCGGTAAACATTATTGGGTGAATTAATATGACTTACATTTGTCCGATTTCATTTAAGAATGCGAGCAATTGCTTTAATATTAGAATTCCTAAGTATAATAGTAGTTTATCAACGGCACCGGAGGAGGGGAATTGTTTTATAGTTTTATTATGATTTGAGAAGTAACAACCCATTGTAATTTTTATTATACTATTTTAAATTATAGCTCCGAATGACATTCCGATAATATAGCCTATCAATATAATTGAATTTAAAAATAATAATAAGAATAATATCTTTTTAAAAAGGTTTTTATTATGTTCTTGATAAATAACAGAACTTAAAACTGAAATAAGTCAAATTATTCTTCAAAATTACGTAAAACCAAACTCAATGAGGTTGTATCGTTTCATTGCTTCATATGGCCACATTTGATTTACACATGTATGCAAAATTGGGAAGTAGATCAAAATTAATTTGCAATATTTGATGATAAACATCAGTACAGGTGAAACTAAATAAAAGTTTGAAACAAATTCTCTTAATGCGGATTTAAAATATACTTGTTTGTATTTTTTACGTAATAACTACTAATCCGACATTTCTTGTCCTTATTACCACTGTGTTCCTTTTCTATCAACGAATATGACTCTATATTTGAATAGTTACAATTAGTTATGACTACACACAAGTGTTTCTTTATAAAATATTGACGTAGTATATACGTTGCGTCACTTGTTTAATGAGGTAGCGTTCTGTAAATAAAACAACCAATTTACAGTATCGTAAAACACTTTCAACATCCCGATGTTATAATGAGTTTTAAACGTAATATGAAATAGTCCTTGAAAACATGCCAAAATATCGGGTCAAGGATTTGTGTATTTACTGTAATCCATTTACGTTTAGGACATAATTTGTTTTGTTTACTTCGGCAGTTATTGTACATCTTTATATATATATATATATATATATATATATATATATATATATATATATATATATATATATATATATATATATAATTCTTCTGTGAGTGTGTATGTCACTGAACTTCTCTCAAACGACTGGACCGATTTTGATGAAATTTTTTGTGTGTGTTCAAGGGGATCTGGGAATGGTTTAGATTCACAATTTTCATCAAATATTAACTTCATATTCATTTATTCAAATTAAAGACGTGTAGACAGGACAACGTCTGTCGGGTCCGCTAGTCTATATGTATAAAAGAAAGTCGTGTTAGTTACACTATTTATAACTCAAGAAAGGCTTTACCGATATGGCTGAAAATTGGAGAGGAGGTAGCTTAGAGCCAGGAGACGGAAATAGGATACTATTTTTTCATTTTGTTTTTTTTTTCGAATTTATGCCTTGAAGAGTTGCTTTTTATTTAACTTATTATATATTAAGATTTTTTATATATCCATGCGGACGGAATCGAGGGCGACAGCTAGTAGGTTATATAAAAAAGTAGATAGTTATGTACTTCGTTATGATAGTCTAGACTTTACATTAATCTTAATCACATTTGGTCGCGAATTTCAATATAAACAGCTCATCCAATTAAGACACGTTTGTGTGGACTTATTTTTATTAATAATAACTTTCTTGTTTCAGATTAGAAGACATATGAAAACATCGTAGATTATATCAACTAATCAACTACTGACTTTATTGAAATAATCAAAGAGAATTAAATAATGATAGACGATAACTGAACAAAGAAATATATTTCATATTTCCAACTATCCCGATAAGAAAAAAAAACAAAATGGGAAGCACAAGAATTGGAAAAAGTTTGTAGGAGCTAAGGACTCTAATTAAATTTCAAATATCAATGCTAAATTACAGACTGGTGTCGACGCATTTTCTGAAGCAACCGTAAATTGTATACAGGACGATTTTTATAAGACTATAAGTGACGTCACTAAACTATGTGCCGTGATCGAGATATGCCAGTGCAGAGTGATATAATCAAATAAATTTGTTATTAAAAAACTAAATAGCTGTGAAATTCCAGTGTAGATTTAAGTGTTCCGTCAAAACGGCGCGCGTTTATGATCCACCTTTACGTTTTGTTTCTTTCATTTTGTTTTACATCAAGGGATAAGCAATAGTTAATTTAATCTGATAGCGGTGGTGGATTGTGGAAGGGGTTTTGCTCAAAAGCGGGCCCCATTCGCTCGACCCTGGCCAGCCGCAGATACAATTTTTCTAGAATCTTGGACACCATTGTAGAGGCTGCAAGATACTGTATTGTAAGTGTCTTGTTAATCAAATTATATTGAATTTAAGATAATGTAAGGTCAGCAGACAATTTCTAGTGTATTGTAGAGGGACTGCATGAGCCATTGATGCTTTTTCAGAAACGCATAACGACCGAAAACTTTTGGAAATTGAGGGATTTAGTTACAAGTGTTAACTTTGCGTGAAGCAATCATGATACTCTTGGAATTAACTCAGGTACTTGTGAAGCATTAGGCAGTGGGGTTAGAATCATAAATTGATTTAAGTAGATATCACAAATTATTGGCCTTATAAATATCTTTATAAGCTTAATATTTTTAAACGCTTGCGCAATTATTTAAGGGTACTGGAAAAGTAAATCATATTTTAATAAAGAAAGATGTAAAATTACAGTCCACATTACAATCTATAGACAAACACAACACGAAACATAAAAATATATTATAAAATGTAGGAGTAGAATAAAAATAAATTCAATATCTTCGTACCACTTTACCAGTTACCCTTTTCTATTTCATACACAAATGTTCGCGATCTCGATATAGATAAATTTTGTATAAGCTTTTATTATATAAAAAAAAATACAAAATAAATTAGATTGGCAACACTTTTAACATTATTGCTTTTCAGCGAGAAGCGTCTGTTAATTTTTCAACATAAAAAAATATTTTATCTTATGTACTTTTATAATTTTTCGCAATTATGTATATATTTTAATAACACAAATTCACGGAATAATGTGTTTCATAATAACATGCAATTTAAATATAGCTTATCACTTGTAAAGGTTCAAAAATGCGATAATATTATGAAAACACTGCTTTTTAAAACCATAGAATACTTACACGTATTCATTATTTATGTTTTATATAGTACAGATGGCTAGGAACTAGTATGTAGTAAGTAACTATTTAAAAATTAAAATGTAATGTAAAAAAATCGTATTTCTATGTTATGATAGAGGTCAAAATTAATTTTGTTATACATTAGTTGAATATGGAGATTTTAGAACTCTGAAGTATTTTAAAAACATATCAACGCATTTTTGAACCAGACTACACTAAAAAACCATTATTTCATATGACTGTACAATGATAGACACTAACAGAATTGGCTATGGTTAGGGCTACGGGCACAGCACAGAGTGCTCGAGCGAGCGGCGGGTAGTAATATCAGAGGCCGGGTGGCGTGCGCAGTGCGAGCGGGAGCGGGAGCGGGACAAGACGGAAGATATGGCAGCGCCCGAGTGCGAGCGAGAGGCGCGCAAACGACGCGAGCGCCGCGACTCTGGCTGCGCGCACGAGCGCAAGGAGCGGCGGCCGCACAGCGAGGAGCGCCCCCAACCCCCGCCGCCGCTGGCCCCGCTGCCCCCGCCGCCGCCGCTACACGACCACAACCGAATTGAGGTCTCTGGGTGTACACATAAAAGTAAATTTCTTGAACATTAAGGTCCAGCGGAGTATTAAGGCAATGATTGTGAATATGATTATATCAAAAAAATATCTTTAATTTTATGTTATTAAGTGTGCTTATAAAACAAGAATATTCGCTTTTACCCATTTTAGTTCAAGAAGTTTGCCGGAAACTTTACCATTTTTAAAGTAGTGTTCGAATCTATTCAACTGCTCCATAAAGCTACATTTACATCTCGCCATTTGGGATTGATTTGGTAAAATCTATGCTTTGCAATTGATTTGAAATTAAGATCAATAACTCGCCATAACCTCATGTCATTATTGCGGAAATAAGCCGCAAGTAAACATTTTTCTCTTCTGTTCATGAAAAAAATTAAAAAGTGATTTAAATTTAGCTGTCAAAAATTTAAGAATTTATTTTGCAGTCGGAGCGTCGCGCAGAGCGTCTGTCCCGCGCACGTCGTCCACAGCTGGGTGGCAAGCGGCGCCGCCCTCCCTCGCGCATACCACGACAACCCAAGGAGAACGAAATCTTCCACGATGATGTCCGCTGCGATACACCACCACATTATGAGTATCTCGTTCAGAAACCAGAATGTAAGCCACAATTTTAGTGGAGGAAGAACATGGATTTTACTGGCTAAATACCTGATCTTCAATCCATCAGGCACTATCAGGGCCAATATCATTTCTTATATCATATTTTAAAGCGTGGGGACAAAAGCTCCTCAATATCGCTCCATTTTTTGAAAGGGCAGTTACCAATTTTTTAAAGTCTTTGCCTAATCGCGAATAACCTAGGCAAAAGTCAAGAAAGTATAATGTAATTTGTAGTGGGTCCAGAATTGGAGCAGCTGGAGACCATCGGCCGGCACGAGGAGGTGGAGCACGCGCGGCGCAACGAGCGCAGCGTGGCGCCGCGCCGCGTTCAACCCACTGCTGACCGTCGACTCGACAAGATCAATAAGAAGGTACACGCTGTTAATTATTTGATTTGATTTATCTTGATAAAACTTTACGATAAAAGACTAAGATTCTAGGTATCAATGGTAACATGAGTAAACTTACGGGTCTAGCGTGTTTATGTTCTCTCTGTTCATCATTTTTCATCCCCGAGGGTCTCGACTAAGCCTACTTACTCCTAATTGAGTTAACAATAAGTACATTTAATCACATACTTTTACGCAGCAGAATAACTTCGGAGCAACCTTTTCATAATTAGAAAAAGGAAGTCGACGAAATAATACAATTAAATCATATCTTAAATAACATTCTTAATTTTTAGATAAGCATCTTAAAGAAGAACATTGCAAAGTATGAAAACGAGTACGAAGTGCAGAACGGTCGCGCCATCACACCAAGCGACCGCATCACAGACGTGCAACTTACGCGAATGCACGAAACTCTACGCAAGCTGCAAGTGGAAAAGCGGTGCATAAAAACTGATCCAGTAGAGTACGCACTTAAAGCTAAAGCTGCTAAACAACAGAAGGAAAGAGATGCCAAGCTGGATGCAGCGCTTAACAGCGACAAACCAATGGCTGAACTCGTCCGTGATATTGAAGAGGTAGAATATGCCTTGGATTTTGTCTTTTACTCTTTATTATTTTACGATTCAAATTGTAATATTACGCACAATATCAAAATTATGTAGAAATATTTTTATTATTAGTCTCGCTTGCGCATAAAATACTTATATGCTAGCGCTGTATTTTTTTAAGAACTGGTAAAGCATAGTAATTATATTATTTGAATTTTTTTCTAAATTCTCTAATTATATGGATTGGCCTCTTTACATTTTAATTTGTCATGGAATTTTATTTTCTGCTGTTCAGATATACTAAGGTACCTTTTATTACTTTAAAGTTTAGTAAAAATTTTGTTACTTGGTTTTGCGTGGAGTTTGTCTAAGATCTTTTGTTCACGCTTAGAGATTCGTCTCATCAAGACAATGCGAATGAGATATTTAAAGCTTTTGGTTAGGTTTCTGTGTATTGCAAGTTGGTAATGTTGTTTTAGGATGCTGTGGAGTGTAAAATGTTCTCTAAGGGTAGGCACTATGACGTAGCGTTACAAGACACTGAAGACATTGTGGGGAGCTCTTTGGGCTCCGCCAGTGCGGATAAGGTGAGAGAACGGGGCACAACACGCAATAGCGGGTTTTCATTGTTTTGTCCCAAAAGCTTTGCCATCAAGCCATTTCCTAGCTTTGTTAAAACACAGAGAAACGTAGTAAAGGACAACACACAACTAAAACTATAACAATTTCAAATTTGGTGTAATTGACAACTAACATTTCCTACAGATATTTTATTCAGCCCCTACGAAGAGCAAATTTAATGGATCTTTGTAATATCATCTTATGAGTTAGAAGGCTTTAATCTCATTCCTCTTCTTTCCCTATCTGTACTATGTATATCTGTTTCCCACATAGTCCAATGAGATGTCTACTACTTTCTGGTCGTACCGTGTATCTTTTTTTAGGATGGGTGGTCAGGTAACATCACATAAAATTGTTTGCGCTTCTTTTAATACACATGGTGATTATGGGGATATGTCTTCTTAACCCTTCCAAATTACACCTATAGATGCTCTATAGCAGTCAAGGATTTAAATTGTTCCAGTGGCTGCAGGGATGCCGTGAGATAGACGGTCGATCGTCAGTGTCAGAGGGGCGTTGGTCGGGTGCACAACTGTCAGCAGAGAAGCTGTGCGTGCAGCGCGCGCTGTTGCGGCTGGAGGCAGCGCGTGGTCGCCCGCCCGTTCACTCGGCGGACCGCGGCGCCGCCCGACATCTCTATGAGAGGTATCGAGCTGTTAAAAGGGCCCTCGCCGCTGCGCGCAATGATCCTGTAAGTATACTGTACCCACTAACCGCTATATTTGTTTATCAAAAAATTGAGATCTGCAAAAATTCCCTTTAATGATGCATGGAATAGTGGTACAGTGTACCTATCTGATTTCGCTTTATTATCAGCTCAAATATTTTTTTAAGATAATCGGTACGAACGGCGAGTTAGCGACCATTCACGAGCACGAGGCCATCGTGTTCAGCAGCAGCCTAGACAGCTCCAGTGACTCGCAGGAGCGCGCCACCGACTCCTCGCAGGTCTGTCTACTGTATATTTGTTTGTAATATAATCAAAGACTACTACTATTAACAGTACAAGATTATTTACAACACAATTGAAATATTCCAATAACAACATGAATTTTGTTGATAAAATTTAATTTCTTAAAATTCTTGATTGCAGGATACTGCAGAGGCTATAGACAATCTGCAGCCGTTACGACGACGTGAGGTCCGCGAGGGAGGCGAGGTGGTGGAAGGGGGCGAGGCGAGCTCCGCTGGGGAGGAGATACCGTCGTCATCGTCAGCGCAGTCGGCCGCCAGCGATGACCAGGCCAACGCCGGCCTGCACTGTCTCGGCCTTGAAGACCTGACGCGCGCCCTCGCCGAGGCCAAGCTGCACAAATGTGTATGCACCTTCATAATACCTTATTAAAGCTTATGATAGTAATTATTTGATTAGCAAAATCTTTTTAATAAAAGAGAAGTAATCCTGTAAGTTAGCTTCATGGGTATTGTGGCTTAAGTCAAAAAAAAATTCTTCTAAAAAATATCGATGTGTGCAGGTGCTGCGTCGCGGCATAAAGGAGTATGAGGTGAAGTTCGAGCAGCAAAACAGCAGGAAGTTGCAGAAGGACGACAAGAAGGGCAACGAGGAGGAATACATTCGTTACAAAGCGGTCAAGGCGAGGATCAAGCTTCTCAACGCACTTATAAACAAGCAGAAATCCAAGCCTTAAAGGAAATTAACTTTATCCTTCGGCTGTGGGAGCACTTGTATACAAAAATAATATCATCCCTTTCTCGCTCTTAGAAGAAAACAGAGACAACTATACAAGTGACGCACCAGTCAAATTTCACTTTAGGATTTATATTTTAATCCAATTCCATTGCATATTTTTAATTACAAGTGTAGTAATATGTAGCAATAGCAATATAACTTCAATCATATTCTTTGTATTATACAATTAGAGTGCAAATAATAGTTAAATAGATTTTAGTAGACAATAAGAGAATTCGTGGATCTATGCAATATGCGGTACAACGGTCATAACTTGTAGAAATTCGGTATATTTATTTGACCATATATTAATGAAATAAACGAATTAACAAACATAAACCCTGTAAGACAAAAGAAGAATACAATGGATAAGAAATGTTTTAACCAGAAACAACATGTGTACTAAATTTCAGTACGAGTAAATTTGATTACTCAAAATACGAACGAAAACTACTATTCACTCTAAATGGTATTTTGCAAGAGAGAGAAAACAGATTTGAAAAGATTTTAGTGAAATTACTAGCTAATTAGCACATTATACTAGTGCGGCTAGTTGATATTCACAAATTAAAGTTTGTTCAGGATTTTTCGAAAACCCTGAACATTCAAGTACACTATTACGGCGTAACCGTATAATTACTTTGTGTAAATCTATAAAACATCATAATATTCAAAATTGAGGTTAATTCCAATTCAGTACTCGATAGTAGAAAGACGACTAAATATCACTTTTTCGTCAAATAAGTGGAAGAAAAACAAAGCGAGATGTAAACTCGTTACATCGACTATGTTATCTTTTAAAAGTCGAAAGTAACTTCGTATCGTGCGGCAACTACATGTATGGGGCATTTAGTAAAAAACATTTTAATAAGTATGTTCTTACTAAATGTTAGTGCTGAGATTCTAGAGGATTTTTATTTATTAGTTATAACTATATTGTTTAAGATTTTTTAAATATACCAACTAACAAAGGTAAGTATACATTTTCTACTACTCGTATACATTGAGATGTATACTATTTGTGGATCTTAGTCTTCACACCAAAAGCTCGAACTTAAAATTGTTCCATTTATATTTTATTGTTCTTTTCGATATTCTTTTTTATTTTGACATGCCAATTATTTACTGTTAATGTTTTTATTTTAATTTAACAAGTTTTTATTATTTTGATTTTTCATTTGTTGGATCCCAATCCTTTTGTATATAAGTGTTATTTTTAAATAACAAAACATTATCTGATTTATAAAACGTGGATTTTATGTGCTAATTATATATTTTATTGTATATTAAACATTAGCCCTAATTATCTGTAAGGTTAACGTATTTATCAATAAACAAAATAAATATAAGAAATATGGTTTTACCCAAAGGAGATATCGTTAATTTTACATTCACATATTATTACAAGTGATTTTACTATGTAATTATAAGACATTATTGTTAATACTGTTTAAGAACTTCAACATTTCAATATAATCTCATGACTCACAGAAAATTATTCAGTTATATGCATATAAAATTACTATTACTTTTGATATAGTCAGTAAGAAAAAAACTTGTTGCGCCTAAAGAAAAGTCTATGGAGCTTTTTAATGCGCGTGGAGATGTTACATTTATGTGCTTATTAACAAAGACTCACTAATATATAAACTATTTGTCCATTTGCGACATTGTTTATCGTTTTCTTTTCTTTAACTGTATAATTTGTTAAGTCTGATGACGTCATTACGTTCACGTGCAGTGTACAAAAAGTTTACCTCATGAAATCTTTAGACTAACGAAAGTTGGTAAAGCTTTGTCGCTCAGTGTATACCACTCTTAGTGTATCCTAATTTGTATTTTCTTTCTTACACATTTCCTATATTTATCTTCTTAGAGAAGAAACATTATAAGTTGTATTAAAAATTTACATAATTAGTACATAAGGACTTACCTGTGATTTTATTATATTATCTTGTGTAACAAGATTTTATATATGATTTTTCTATAGCTGTTATATATTGTGTTGAGTTTAATATAGTTTTTTTGTTAGCATTTTACGTGTATTCAGTGGAATTATTTAAGTTTTATTTACAATTAAATACATAAGTGAGCAAAAGTATATGAATATACAATGATGTTACTTCAATCTACTACTATTTACTATTTTTTTGTAATAAAAATAGTTGAACCGCTATTTAAACCACACATTGACTCATAGTTGAATAATTTGAGCAAAATATCACTGATTTTCACCACCTTAGTACATGGACAATAACGTATTTTTCTCATTCATTTCAATATCTGAATAAATACGGATAAATATTATGTTTTTGTAAGAGTTTTGGAGACTTCTTGTATTATTTAAGACATATTTAAGCAACTTACTCTAATTGCTCTGTTTTTTGATACCAAAATCTCTGTATTATACAGACATTTATCTTCTCGTCTGTCTTTCATCTTTGATAAAACAGAGATAATATGTTTTACGGTGATCTTGGTCTCAAAAGCCCATGAATAGACAACCAGAGAAATATCCAAATATACAGAGAAGTATACAATTGGAGTATGTAAAATTATTTATTATTGACGAATTAATTAAAATAAATAACTTAACAATCAAAAAGCATGTAAATCTCTACATTTATAACTAAGTAATGTTAATTATGTTGTATGCAATATGAAATTGTAATTCAGAACAAAGGAAATGTTTCGCCTAACTTGTTGATAAGCATGTTTAAATAATGAATAAAATGTAAACACGTGTAGCGTTCTATAAATGTCTTCTAATTCATATAATATTATGTTTAAAATAAATGAACCGAATAAATACTTGTTTATCATTTTATGTCGCGGTTAAATTATAAATGTGAAAGTTTGTCAGAAGGTTTCTACACAACGGTTTAACCGATCTTGATATAATTTGGCACAGATGTAGAATATTTGTCCTTTTCTTAGACGTGATTATTAATGGTCGGAATTAGAAAGAAATAAAAGAAACAATATAACAAAAATAGTTGATAATTTTCTGTCCATCCATTTTTAGTTTCTTTATATACCTATTTTATATACAACTTTACTGATAATATTTAATTTGCTCTTTTATAACGTATCGAGGATTGCTCACATTTTTTTTTGGTATCTTAGTTAATATACGCTGCCATTTCGAGGAGAGGGTTATAAGAGATTTTTCCTTACTAAGACGCCCTAAATGAAGATTCTCAAGGCATTAGGCACATACCTACCAGTTCAAATTATTCTTATCATCAGAGATATGAGACGTCTTCCCATAATGTATGATATTACAGCCGCTATTGATATAGTCTCACCAAGATGTTATTTTATGGGCATATTCTGAGAAGACTGAGATGTCAGTAGGGTTCATAAAATTATATTTGATATTGTAATCTAGATAAAACAATGTTACGAGGATGTTAAGAGTCTAGCGGGACTGGACAAATTGTATTCGCTGCGAAGCGATTCCATAGCGAACTTCAAAAATGAATGGAACTTATCTAGCCCCGCTGAATCGCTTCGACAAAACAATTGTTTGTCTCCACGACACTGTTGCCTTAAATCGGAAATTTGTTTAATAGTTATAATTATTTAAGTTTTTATTGCGTTGTATTTTTTTCTGATTTCCTTTTGTTCAATACGTAACTTGAGAATTATTGATTTAACACTCAATGACCTTACAGCGATCGAAATGTGCAAACACTTGTACAGATTTTCCTAAGGTTAAGAGTTTATCTATTTTCTATGTTGGTAATGATGCAGTGTTTGTTTTAAATCGTAAATATCGATATTGAAACTCTTTTGTACACAACGATTAATTCATAAATATGTTTAAAAGTAATTTAAAATTCCATATTTTGATATTAAAGCTTTTTATAAAATGTATTTGTATAAATGGTGGTGAATTTTTAATTCTATTTTTTTAACAAATATTTATTCCCTCCTACTTTAACTGATTTCAACTGTTTGCTTTGCAATTATTTTTAGGTTATAAATTTAGTTTTGTGTGTTTCTTTAACACAAAGATAGTCAATTGAAATCAACGATAACGAACTAAATCATTTATTACCAAATATAATTAGTAACAATTATTTTCTACTACACGAAGTTATATACAACGAGAATTATACTAAAAATAAGTAGAACTAAAATTGATGTTACTTGCTCTAATCAGCAGGATGTGGTGGAGGGGAGCTGCCGTAATTCTTCTCTAAAACATCTTCTGGTAGAAAAGAGCTTACAATTCTCCATTCAGTGTTAAATATATTTGACATATGTTCTTTGAACGCGTGCCTTGGATTTTTTGCACTTATCTCCATTGTGTCAGTAACCTCCAATATTTCTTGACTAAACATTTCATTAGCTATCGACATTACTTCTTTCTCCTCGCTCAGAACTCCTTTTATCTCAGCAAAAACTGAACAGAACATCACTGACAGAACACTGAATGCAAATATCACTTGCAGTTCTTTTTTTAAAACGTCCATGTTACACTTTTAATGCGTCACTTGTTAAATTTAATTTGCTTCAAACGTATTATCTATCGAAGTCTATAAAATATGTTATAAACGATGCAGAGATTTGTGACCGGCTCGCTTATCATTCCCTCCATTCGTGCTAAGAAGTACGCAGTTGTTACAAACATAAAATGAACTGACATAATATGACTCGGTGCTGAGTGATAAGCTCTTAGCTCGAACTTTGTACAAGATATATAATTCAAGTTTGATTTGTTTTAAACGTTATTAATAACAAATGAAGAAGGAATACATTTTGTATTTGAATTCAATCGAAATGAGAAATAAAAATACACATAAAATAATAATAATAAATCTTTAATTCATACACATGGTCCATACAAAACAAAAATACAAATTAAAACACTAGCACAAAAATAAAACACAAAATAAAACAAAATTCTTTAGGGCACATATGCAAAGAATTTAACTTTTATAATTTCTATTGATTTAAACGCTATAATTTTTCAAAATATTATAAATTAAAAGACTTTGTCAGATATGTGTATATACAATTTCTCATTACCATTTACTTCTACTTTTTATCCACTAGTTGTCGCCTGCGACTCCGTCCGCACGGCATTAAAAAAACTTAATTAGTAGCCTATGTGTTCGTCCAAACTATGTTTTACATCTATGTTTTTTTCAACAAGATCCATGCAGCCATTCTGAAGATACCTTCTAAGGAACATCTTTCTATACATCGAATGTTACAATGTTGAACGGATGGATTGACGCGCGGACAGAGTCGCGGGCGACACCTAGTATATGTCTAGTGCTAACACTTTAAGCTACCTTAATAATTTAAATTCAGATTTTTATAATAACAAAATTGATTTTTTATTAAAACAGAACATAACATCGCCTTTCTTCTAACCTACAAATTAACTTGCGATAAAAGATAATATTGTACCAAAATAAGACATCTTGGTATTGGCCATCAAAAAAGACGCCTGGTAACACTTCGGAGATTTGGAAGTAATCAGCGATCCGTTGACAAAAAAAACTAATCGGTTGGTGAACTTATGAATATAGTGAAAATGTTTTGTTACAATGAGAACCCGATGAACAGCAGATAACTCGCGCTATCAACCAACTTTGCGCTTGGGGTCAAATGATCTGCTCGTAACGTGCGGTCGTTAGATTGTCATTTCGCCCGGTGGACTATTCTGAAGTATTGCGACATTTTATGTGTTGTTTTTAATGAATTGCAGAAAATAATCTTAAATGTAGGGTATTTTAGAATTCATATTATAAGTAAACATAGTTCATAGAAAGATTCTTTTGTACAACAAAAATAAAGTGACTAAAATTATTGGCTATAGGTATTACATACACAGATCGATATCTTATAAATTTAATATATAAAAAATTCGGAGTTTTGACCGATTTTTATCAAATTTTATTTACATATTCAGTGATAATCTTCTACTATCTATTTTTAATCCCGCGCGGACGGAATCGCGGGCGACAGTTAGTGTTACTCTAAGTTAATTTGACTCAACATAACCACAAAAATTACGTATTAAAATAAATAAGCACTAGTAACTTAATTATTAAAATCATTTTTTGCGATATTTTATCGAACGCTTTCATGAT